TGTGTTTTTTTGCTTGTTTTCTCGAGGAAATTTAGGCTAGAAAGCAGGCCATGGGTCTTCAAGTGTAAGAGATGTGAGTTCGAGAGAGCTAATAATTAAGTTGTTCATTTTTTTTTTTTTTGTGTGGAGATCAGATGAATGAAAGAAACAAAAGAGTGATGTTTGTTTATAAAGAGAAGACACACTAGTATTTAAAAAAAAAAAAGAAAAAAAAAAGCTCTTCATAAAGAGATGAGACGCTCCTATTTTCTTATTCAACTTCTCATGATAAATACAATGGTGGTATTAAAAATATTCCTATTTGGTTGTCATTTGCTTTATAAAATCTAATACCAATGGGTATTTTTAAGAAGTTTATAACTAGCAATAATTATGATTTGACCAAAAACATATAGCAATAAGTAAGAAAAATTCAACAATAATTAACTAAAATATTTTAAGAGAAACTCTATCGAGTGGCACTTTTTATATTACAAATATATAAAATAAGACATTATGCTAAATAATGTGAAGTGTAAGACTTTAAAAAAAAAATATATATATCTGTATTTACTTGGTTTCACTAAGTTTTATGTTTTTGTAAAAAATAATTCCTAAGATTATTCTATCATTAATTAAGAGAACTAAATAAAAAATTGTTTAACACTTATATTAAAAAATCGAATGACTAGTTGAATACTGAATATACTTTTTATTGTTTGCTAGCTATATCAATATGACAGTATGTTTATAACTAGTATTCTCTTATTTTTCCTAATATAGTTGTCCTTTTAAGATTTTTCTGTGAAGTAAAAAATACTCATAAAATTTGTTAATTACGCGTCAACATAGTTTTAAGAAAGTTAATGTGGTCAGCAACTGAGAATCAATGAGTAAATGGCGACTAACAGTTAATAATGGGTTGGTGACTCAAGAAAAAAGGTTTAAATTTTAATTAAGTGTTAAACCGAGTAAATTAGTCAAATTAGTCGACATATTACTGTTTTACCTAAAACCTAAGACTAAGAGCATCATGTACTGGCGAAAAATATATCATCAATTACGAACGTTAAAAGCGTGATCAAAGTATGCAAATGAAATTCAAAACTGACTATTCTCATATATTCAGAAGAAAAAAAAAATGGGTGGATTCAGTTTAACTATTCATCATACCAAAAAAAAAGTTTGTAGTCGGAAATTTTCATACATCTAAACATAGGAGCCGTCATAAGGAATCTAAAATGGCAAAGAGAAATTACATTGTCACAATGTTAATCTCTCGACTACTTTCGTTTTATTAACTTTAGTGAGCAATTATTTATATATTATTGGAGCGGCTTAGGTATTTTTAGTTATAAAGAAACAGAATCAATGTCGTCACATGATGAAGATTGGAGGTGATGATGTATCTAGTGATTTTTTTTTATCATTTAAACATCGCTTGTATATATGCAATATCTATGAGCTCATATACATATTATCCAAGACAATTCGATGAACAAGACGCAGCCGGTCTAAGACATGTCCACGTATAAACTACATTTTTTTGTTGTTTTAAGTATAAACTACCTTTATATTTAAAAATCCCATTATCATTTTTAAAATACTTCCAACATTAGCAGGATCCGTTTCCTAACGGTCGACTGGGTCAACGGATTTTAACATAAACCGGCCGGTTTTTCGATGTAGCGTTGTTTTCTAATTTCTACATTGCAATTTATTTAGTTACTTTTTTTTATATATTGGCATCTTCGAGGAGTCTTTAATACATGTTAACTAATCTAAAATAAGGCAGTTACTAATGAAAATGACTGAAACTTTTTCCAAAAAAAAACCACCAAATTTACAAGAACAAAATTCGGAGAAAGAATATGCGCAATGGTACCACAGCTATGAATTCGTACAAATACAATAATCATATCTTTAACAAATAAATGGTTATCAATTTCCTGACGAGTTGAATAAAAAACGAGGCCGTCCAAGTTGGTGGTAGTGACATGGTAGCGAATACTTATAATGTACATAGAAAAGAAAAATAGATCAATTTAAAAAAAGTTAAAAGGAAAAGGCACACGTCACTCTAGAACCAGAAGATTTTAATAAAAAGTTAAATAAAAATGAATATGTTAGATCCGTTTTTCGATTTTAATAAAAGAAAAGAAGAAAATGAAAGATGATCATCTATATAGGATAAGATAAAGCAGTGCACACTAACAATAATCACTTTGTGTGAAAAATGAGACAACGATATTCAAAAATTGTCAACTTTGTGGGACGGTGTGGGTACCTTGGATTATACTATTTATATTTCCCCTATTCATATTATTATTTCTTACTAAAACCTACTATTCGATTGCGCATGCAGAAAGCAGCAGAATAATCTATTTTCCCAAAAATGAGTTTGTATAAATCGTATAATGGTACAGTCTTGATCATTTCAATTCGAAAATTAATTAACATGATTGGTTCTAATGTTAAGATTTCATTCCAAACTAAATTACAACCTAATTCTACAAGATACAAAAAAAAAGAGAAAAACTTAATATCACAGGAACAAGACAGACTTTAAAGTAATTTACAAAGGAAATGAAATAGGACTAAAGTAAATTTGAAGGAGAGAAGCTGAATGCAAGTCCGACGCTCAGGGTGGTGGGGGATGTGTCTTTAGTAAAATGGTTAAGTCCATTGGACTCCACTTTCTCCACCGGAATTCGATTCCACTAAATCGTGTTACTCCACTATGGATCGGATCTTGTCGATCCAAAAATATTAAAAGAAAAATGATGTCCATTTGCGGTTTTACTTATAAATTTCTGTTTTTATACATGATTTACTTTCACGGATTTTACAGATAATTTGATTTTTAGTCAATATACAGTATTACCAATCAAAACTATAATTCATGCTATTGTTTTTTTTTTAATTTGGCAAATAATGCATGCCATTAGTCACCACCAATTATCAATGGGCCAAATGTGTATTAGTAAAAAGTTCGTAGATATAAAACTATGGAAACGATAATGGGCTTCTGTTAATTAAGCGTTATGGCTAAGTCAAAATGATGACAAGTCTAGGCCCAATTAAAGCCCATGGTCATCAATATATTTTCGACCAAAAAAATACATTGGATGTGCACTACTTACATGTTACATGTTCCACTGGAAAAATGTTTTGATTTTTTAAGTCCGAAATAAAACATTTAAATAAGTCGTCTAACCAGTTTCTTATAAACTCAATTGACATTTAATATTATACATTTGAGGATAACCGCCTGCTTGATAGTTGACAATTCGGCATATATTCATATACTCCCTCCGTCCCACAAAGATAGATTTTATAGAAATTTCACATTCTTTAAGAAATAATGTATAATGACAAATTTAACCTTTTAACACTTTAACATATTTTAAAAAGTTTATTATTTATTGTTATTTAATAAGGGTAAAATAGGTAAATCGTTTTAAATTTTACATTGGAAACATAAAACTTCTATCTTTATGGGACAAATTTTTTTTCCAAAAAATTCATTTTTGTGGGACGGAGGGAGTATATAATATGGAATTACACTATTGTGAACAAAAATTAAATTGACATAAAATCATAGCCGTAGGTTCAGCAGGAAAAGACACTGAAAACCGTAGAAGACATAAAATGTGGTCAAAGTCTTTGGTTAAAAGTACATAGTAAAAAGATAAATCCGATGAGCCATGGAACTTGTGTAATCCGTGAAAACTTTAGGACAACCAAAAAAGCATCACTTTTAGTAAGATTTTTCTTTACGTTTTCAACTTTTTAATAATAATTTATTTCTTCATTTATTGTTTTATCAAAGACGCTTTCTCGGCGACTTCGACCCTAATCTCTTTTCCCATTATCTTATTTTGTTTTCTTCCTAAGATTTACCAATTAGTAAAGTGTTTCTCAATTTCGGAATATAAATCAACGCAGAAAAAAAAACGAAACAAACATTTAACAAAGACAAATCGAAGTATGAAAACTCAATGCGCAATGGTTATCACTGTGAAATTTTATATCATCCCCATTTTGTATACTTTTTAATTGTTGACAATTATTACATATATAGACACATATTTATTCAACTCTCCGTTGTGTTAGCGAAGTCTGGTTTACTAAATATCTGGAATCTGGTTCATCGTACAATAAGAGGATAAGATTTCAAGAATAACTCTGGATTAAAGATTTTTCACTAAACAAGTGAAAGGTCTAAGATGCATAGTAGAGGAATTATCCACTCCACGAGCATATTATATAATATACGATAGAAATGATGTATTAGCAATCAAGTGATAACTATTAAGTATAATTCCAAGACTAAATGATCTAAATGGTTACATTATACAATGCGAGTAATTTAAAAGGAGAAAGAGGTCCAAATTCAAGCTCTTGATGATCTTCCCATGCAAGGACTGCAGAAACTGTCCTTACATGTAAGAGTAGAAGTACAATATCGTATTAACTCACATGCATATATAGCTTCTTAATTTTCAGAAATCATAATTATAAGAATCCTGAAAACCCTAGCTGGTTTGTGTCATAAATAGTTCAAGATTCAAAAATAGATATACTCTGCTAAGAAACAACTAGATCTGAAACTAAACTATCATCATTCATGACTATGAAGATCCAACCTTATAACTTAAATTCTTCCTGACAAAAAGAAACAATCATAGCAAAATCATAGCAATGTAGAAAAGTTCAAAAATACAAACACATGTAGAAAAAAGGTTGTAATGATGAAACTTTTCAGATTCCAAGAGGAGAAAGAAAGTCAGATTCTTTCATCATTACACCAATCTGCAAATACCTGAAAACCTTCTTTTTTCTACCGGTCCCCAAAGACCAATTTTTTTTAAAAAATAATCGATTTCTTTCCATGCAAACAATCAATAACGCATGTAAGTGAATCCGAGAAAGTAAGGTAAAGATCAAACCTTTAACATGGGTTCATTCACGGGATCTGAAACCCTAAATTGAGAAGAAGGAAGAAATCGGGAGCAACAATTGGGGGGAATGAAGCCTGGTCCGACGACGCTAAAACCCTAATCGTCAGATCTGAAATCTGGAGGTTCAATTCGATTATTAGATCGAAAAAGATCCAACATGAATAGAGCGAGCCAGAGTCCTCGAGCCAGACAACATTCCCCTCAAAAGAGAAAGCCCCTAATCCTTTTGACTCAAGATTATAGAATCTAGGGTTTCTGAATATATATCTTTATATCTCTCTCTCTCTCTGTGTTCGTCCCCCACGAGACCCGGCTAATATCAAGGGAGAAGCAGAGAGAGAGAGATGGAGAAGAAGATAAGTGAGTGGTGATGATGGAAGAGAGAATGAGAGAAATAAAAAGGGGGTTTTATGAAGAAAATTGAGTAGTGGAGAGAGCCAAAGAAAGCTATACAAGACAAGAAACATGGGTGTCTCTGGTCCCACACGCTCTCTCTCTTTCTCTCTAACAATACATATGTACGTGTGTGTGTATGTGTGTGGCTTTTGATCAAGTTTCAAGATCTCGCAGTAAAAACATTGGGTTTACTTTTTGAGACATGTCACTGGATTCCCATTTACTATGTTATTACTTGTTCAAGCAAAAATAAAATCTAAGTTCCCATCCCTTCTACTAATTCTATATTGAGCCTATTTCTAACGTTCTTTATGTACTTTATTACGTAATATTATAGTTCGAAAATTAAATGGCTGAAGTTTATAGTTTGGTGATTTATTTTACGTAATATTATAGTTTAACAACGTTCTCAATATATTCTGGGTCGGCTCATCACTAGCAAACAAATTTTGGCCATGATCAATGTTGGATATATATGGATTCTATTTACATGTTAATTTTGTTTTTATTTTAGTTCTTAATTACATGGTTTAGGCGGATTATATACAAAAGCACACTTTATTCATGCCTAGATATATGCCTAAATTTGTTGTTATGGTTTTAAATTGTGTTAGCGCAACAAATGGTACATAATGACAAAATATACGGAATACATGCGGTTTAGTCGGATCAAAAATTGAAAAAGTCATAATATTAATCATTGATTTAAATTGAAAAAAAAAATTTGCATTTTAATATAAGAGATAGACGACTGTAATTTTCTATCAATTTTAAGTTATTTGTTTACAGCCACAAATTCCTAATATCTCTTTGCAAAAAAGTTCAATCGGCAACACTATACATTGAATTCCACAGATTATACGACTAGCTATTACCCAAACAAAATGTTTTTTCGGTCATATAATAATGAAAAGAAATTGAAGGAACCGCGTAAGAACGTCCGGTGAAAGAGAAATGAACAAGTAGGAAAGTACAAGGACTACGAATCACAAAGTATAAAGTAGAAGAATTCGAGAAATTAAAAACATAAATCTGAGAAAAATGGAAAGGGAATCAAAAAGGGAAAGAGGAGTGACTATAAAAGTTAGTCAGAGGAGTGGTTGAGTTATTGATCTGCCCAATATTAGCATTCTTCATTTATTGTCTCTCACCTTTTTTTTCTTGTTTTTTTTTTATTTAGTTTTTAATTTTAATCTTAATTTTGCTTCACCGTAAGTTTCAAGTCGTTGAGGTTGGTGAAAATGGTCCATGGGGTGGCTAAAACTCTATATTGTTGGCCCATTTCCCTCGGCGACTCTTTTTATTGTGGTTTAAGTCAAAGGCTCCACCTTTTCATACCCTTTTCTAATGAAAGAATTATTTGGTTTTTACTTTATTTTATTTTTTATATAGTTTCGTGTAACCTTCAAATTTTACCGAGTGAAGGGTTTGAGTTTTGTTTGTTTGTTTGCTTCAAGGAGATATTGACTACTTGGTTAACTTGTCGTACAGGTTTTTTTAAAAAATCATGGAATTTATGGTAAATTCTTTTATTATTTGACTTGGGTTTTTAATTTCTTAGGTTTTGATTTTCTAATCTTTTTTTAAAAAATCCAGGAAGAAAGAAAACTGTGACAGGCATGTAACGGAGATGAAGTCATCATGTGTTTTATAACGGTAAACGTTTTGGTCAACGAGGAAAAAATAAAAGCAATTATGTAATCAGTCTAGTAATTAATACTCTTATTTTTCGAGATTTAGTGAGAGATTTAATCTATCTGTGCATTGTTTTCACGCAAACATGTCGCTTTAAGGAAACTGGCAGTTATAATTGTTCTCTCTTACGCAATAATTAAGCTCAGATATTTACTTTTTCTGTAATCTTTTTTCTTTGCTCTTTTTTTTTTTTTTTCTGTAATCAGAATTCAGAAAAATGTTTTTCTACTAAATTATGTGTACTGTCACACGATTATATATTCTAGTGTATAATATATAGTAATTCTCAAATATAGGACAGGATATTATTGTCTCCTGAGTATTATGTCAAAAATACGTGCATTGTAAATGAATATTTTCTACGCTAAAAACGGGGAAGAAAAAGGCACTTTTCTATGACTCGCTTTTGAAATAAATTTATGTCCTTTAAGTCAACTAATTACCAACTTTTGTTTGTGTATTTTTATTGCTTTAATAATTCTCATTTTAAAATAAGCTAATCACTCAGCCAGCTGGAAATACGACTAGTTAATTGGGAAATGTATAAGTAAGAAACCCTAATCAGATTACCAAACCAAAGAATCTTATTTAGTGTATGGAAATATGTATATGGAACGTTGTGGTGCATTCACATTTTGATATGTCGTTGTCTTATTAATATTTAGAAATGCATATGGTACATCACCACATTATAAAAGACAGACAATAAATTTTTTAAAAAAACATAGATATTTCTCATTTTTAAAATGATTCCAGAATTAAAAGCTAGAGAGTGCCCGCGACAAGTGCTGCAACAATTTGTTTAGGTTGCTAGAGTCCAAGAAAACTAATGAATTTTTTTTCCACGTAGATAAGAAATAATGAGAAACTGTGGATGAGAATGACAAATGGAGAAGACGATTCTGGCTCCAGATTTCAACGTTTTTGACAGTCTTCGAGAGTTGTGTTTTGTGTTGTGTCCGAGAGAGAGACGACGTAAATGTCAAATCCCTGCATATCCGAACCCACGTTGTCCATTCTTACATTCCTTTAAGAAACAAAAAAATGCCTTAAAAATCTAATTAACCTTTGATCGGTTAATTCATACTATTTATATTCTGTTGTTATGTTTAATTTTATTCTAAAAGGAATAAATGTTTGTTTCTCCACATAGAAATGGACTAAAGACCGGTCAACCAAGAGAAAAAAAAAACCCACTTTTCTAGTCCACTCAATTTTTACTTGTAATTAATGAAAACCTCTTAAAAGTTTGCAGGTTTTCAGAAATTAATATTTTTAAAACATTAAATCAGTTCTTCTTTTTATATAGCTTCAAACATACGTACTTATAAACTTTCAATGAGATAATGTAATCCGTAACATATAAGATTTTGATAGATAATTCAGTTTGCATGCTCTTAATAAACTTTCAATGAGATTATGTAATCCCATAAGTCATTAACTAAGCACTAGACGAACTTTTGCTTGACATGTACTGATGGACCGACCGTTTCTATGTATTCAAGGGCTAAACACCAAACTTAATTGTTAGACCATATGCAAGGGGGGAACTTTTGAGTGTGTTCTTAGGATTTAGAAATATGAAATAAGGTGAACAGTGGTAGAACAGTTCTAACTTATCCTGCAAACTGTTCTTTCTGAAGAACAGCTTTTATAATTTTAAGAACAGTTGTATCCACTATTCAACATTTTTATTATTTTAAAACCCTTAAGAACACACCAAGTGTTCCCCCTTGCCTATGCTCTTAAAGAAAAACTGTTAAAGCAATTAGAATTTCTGAATAATTAAGAACTAGAGGAGGAGCGAGGGTAGCATTGAAATTAGGGAAAAAGAGAGGACAATAGCATTTAATGCCTCTTTGTTCGTATTCTCTGCCCATTCAATTTCTCAATTCAGATCCCAAATTTCCACTATCCTACTCCTTTCTCTCCAAAAAAAATAAAAAAATTACTCCACTGGTTTCTAACGTAACATTTTTTTACAGATATTTTTTTCCTACTATATTAGCTGGGTAATGGTGAAAAGACTACAAACGAAAAAAATCAATATAAATATGAATCGTATCCTTTTTTTTGGTAGTATACGAATCGTATCCTTATGAAAATGTAATTCACAACGAAAAAAACAAAATTATCATATATTATGTGAAAAGTGCGGATCTCTAGGTAATGAACATAAAGACTCTTTCTCGAATGTCTATTGATGAGACCCTTACTTGTCAAAAACTTTTATTCACTGTATTTTTAACCATTTCTTCGATATATCTCCATCACTCTTTTTTTTACCCCCCTCTCAATCTATCCACACGACACTTACATATATCATAATGCGTGTAAGTATACGTTTGTTCTTACCTATATGCATACAATACCAAACAAGTTATAGGATTTTGTCTACTCGATTAGTGGTGTTATCCAAAACGCATAATACAAAAAATTATATGATGTCATGAGTTTACTGGTATCAAAAATTAAAAGAAAATCTCGTTTGCAATACAAAAAATTTACGTGATGTAAGTTCGGTAATTACATCGTATTATGGGTCCAAATCATATATTGATTCGCACCAAACCTATATTTCAATCAGAAAATACTATGGATTAATATTGGTAAAGGTGGCTCACAAATTCACAACGCATCATATATCCCCGAGGTAGCGTGGGCTATATAGTCCAATGGGCATTTCCTTTAATTTTGCTATTCTGACAAGGGATAATGGGCCAAACATCTATTATGGGCCTTTTAAACAAGAAAGATTCAATGCTTGTTTTTTACTCGCTTGCTTTTGTTTTGTTAGTCAAGGTATGTATATATGAAAAATAACACATAAGACGTCCAAAAAAAAAAAAAAAAAGATAACACATAACACATTTGAAGGTAAGAGATAAGGATTTTTGGGGGTGGAAGTGAACACTGAGAACCAAAATTGGTTTCGGTGGTGGAAATAGATCGAAACCTAAAGCAAAAGAACAGAGTAACATGACTAAGGTCTTAGGTCCGACAAGGTCAGCAATGAGAACCGTCTCACGCCTAATCTTTGGTTTTCCCTTGACTTGGTATTGTCAGTTTCCGTGACTAATACAATTAACATTATCTATAGCTTATTAGTATAATT